CGTCTATGCTTGGCCCAGACCCCACCACCTCATGATTGTATGTGTGTGGAGTGATACTTGTGTGAGTCAGTCTATGTGAGTCAGTCCGTTTATCAGACTTCCGCTGCATATATGCTCTTCCTACATTGGTTGATCTTTGGTTCTGCCCATACTCATTGAAGTATGTAACAGTTTTGGTATCGGAGCAGACCATATTACGGATCTGCTCACAAAGGTAAGTCTGATTAGGAATTAGATTGTTCTTCAATCTTCCGAATCAGCTCTGTATTACTATTGAGTTCAAGTTGCAAAATTTTTCTTTTTTTCGGTATTCTGTTATTTCGGCACTTCCGTTTCAATTCGGTATATGGACTTATCATTCGGATTTCCGTTTTACTCCGGTAGGCTGTTTATTAGGATCCGACAAATTGATACTAATCCAACATTCTGTTTGATTCGGATTTCTGGTTAGTAATTCGTAATTAGGGTCAAATCAGTTTTCTGTTGATTTCAGCATTCTGATTTCTTTCGGTATTCCGTTTTTATTTCGGCATTCTGATTTTAATCCTGTATTTCGTTTCGAAATCAGCATTTCCGTTTTATTGCAGCATGGGGAATTAGGGTTACGATTTTTTTTTTGGCTTTCACTCAACTTGGGAAATTCGAACGTTTTGGGAACCGTAAATCCGGAAATTCCGCCGAAACGCGGAAAAATAGGGTTGGGCCCGAAATTTTCGCGATTTTTTTTTTCTTTCCTTTGTTTTGAGAAATTCCGAAAACGGGTTTAGGTCGTTAAAAATCGGATTTTGACGGTGGAAATTCCCGAAAATTCACGTTTTTGAAAATTCGAGTGTTTTTCCCTGACTTTTTCCGAATTTTTTTTTTGGCAAATTAATCCGAATCTGACCCTCAAAGTTGCAACTTCTGGGTAGTTCACTCATTAACGGTGAGCTCCCGGACTAAAGATGATCTCAACGGATACCTAATCTTGATACAATTCAAATTCGTTCATTATCATTATTGCAAATACTGTTTATTGATTATCTTTATTGCAATTATTGATTATTGATTATCTTTATTACAAACATTGTTTTATGGATTATCATTAAGAATTATTATTTCGTTATTTATCATTAATTAAGCTTTATTGATTAAATAATTCGTTAATTTTATTTCTTATTACGAATTTTTGAATTGTTCACGGGAAATTTATTTTCTGTTTTGATTAGGTGTCTACAGTCCATCAGTGGGACAGGGGACTGTATGCGTATTGTTTGATTGTTCTACCCCTGTTCCCACTCTCCCTACCCTCCC